CCCCGGCCAGGAGGAGCCTCTCCTTCTAGTGCGCGGAGAGGTGGATTATGGCGGAGGGGGTGGGTACAGCCACGACAGTGGCCCGGACCAGGCTCACCCTCCCAGAGGAGCCTGTCGGGCGGCAGCAGCACTCGCCCAGACGCGTGGCTTCCTTCGGCGCCACCTCCACGTCGGCTGGTGGGGCCTGGCAGAGCCTCTCGCCCTCCGTGTGGCAGCTGTCATTGCGCTTCAACGACAAGGCCTGCGGGAGCCCTGATGCCGAGGCCTGACACGGACGCCCTGGTAAGCAGCTGCCGGAGCCAGTGCCGGAGCAGGAGGTGGCGCTGGGTGCCCCCGACGGGCGAGCCACCTGCTGTTCTTCGAAAGCCACCCAGGAGCCGACCGCTGGCAGAGAAGGAAGACGCCCCTGCAGGTCCAAGGACTGAGCGTGGCCCCACCAGGCAGAGGAGAAGGCAGCCGCCGCCGCCCAGGCGCAGGTGGCGAGGCTTTGGCGGTGGCGCTCGACTGGCCGTACGTGACTGAGATCCTTCCTTTCAAATCAAGGGGGTAATGTCAGCGTATATAAAAAAATTTTTTTGGGGGGGTAAAAAGTAAAAAAAAATCCCTGACCGCTCAAGTAGACCAAGTGGCAGCGCGGCAGATGTGTGAGCTGTCAATGCCATGTTGAGAGGTAGTTGATGCAGAGAGAGCTCTGGCAGAGTGTGCTCGAAGAGCGTCTGGGCTGATTTGCCCGATAGTTCATAAGCCAGGGTAATTATCTGGACAATCCACCTGGATATAGTTTGTGATGATGCCAGTGAACCTTTATGAGGGCTATGAAAACAAACAAAGAGTCATGAGGACCTTCTGAAAGACTGTCCTGTCAGGACAGAAAGCTAGGGAGCGCCTGACGTTGAGCATATGGTGCATGCGCTCAATATTTGTCTGAGGAGATGAGAATAATGAGGGTGAGATCAGAGGCTGGCTTAGATGAAAGTCTGATACAACCTTTGGAAGAAAGGGTAGAGGGCGACTTTGTCTGGATGAAATTGAATATAAGGTGGGTCGGATCTGAGGGCTGAGAGTTCACTAGCTCTCCTAGCTGATGTTATTGTGAACAAAAAGAGGGTTTTGAGAGAGAGTAGTTTGAGGTCGGTCATAGCCATGTGCTCGAACGGAGACTTGTGGGTGTATTTAGTATGACTTGTAGAGGCCACTGTGGCAGAAGGGGTCGCTGGATAGGTTGTATGTTACGAAGACCCTTTAGGAACTTTTTCAATGGTGGATGCAAAAATAGTCACGCTGGCTGAGAGTGTGTAGACTGGTGTGCAACAATCGCGGAAATACAAACGTTCAGTGTGGAGTGAGACAATCCACAGTGGTAGATATGTAAAAGAAAGGTGAGGAGAATCTTTAGAGAGACTGATGATGATATCAAGTGTTGGGAGGTAGCAAAAGATACCGATTCCATCTGTGGAGTGGGAGGATGAAGAGATTTCTCACAGAGGTGTGATTTCAATCGTTGTAATTGTAATTTGAGTGCTGACTTAGTGACTTCTTTGCACTCTGGAAAATTATGAGTTTGGTGTTGTTCCCCTAGGCAAAAAAAGAGGCAACGATTGTGCCCGTTGGATCTTGTTAGTGCAAAGCACACACCATTTGAATGGCCCAGGGGGCATAAAAGAAGCGAGGGGGAAAAGAGGGTAGGGAGGGCAGAAACAGATTTAGATGGAAAGGAGAAAAACTCAGGAAATGTAGAAAAAGAGATAACTCACGAGGGAACGTCAAAAGGAAAGGCAAAAACAGCCACGAGGCACGATAGAACAAAGCAAAGCTGATAACTCTAGCTCGTCGAAAGGTCCAACATGAGTGTCAGCTAAAAGAAACTGAGGAGGTCTCTGGCGGGCGGAGGGGGGACATCCCACTAATCACATTTCTTTAAGCTCTAGAACCTTCCGAGAGGTCCTGTGCAGGTGCAGAACCCAATTGTGTGCCTTCACAGAGACTACAAAGAAGAACCTGCTAATTTTAGAAACAGAGCACAAGAGCAGAGAGCTTGGCTACTGCAGAGGGAAACATTCTCCCCACTTTGAGAATAACAACAAAAGCACCACCTGGGAGTTTTAGCTCCTGGACCAAGCGCAACACCTTCATTCCCCATTGCGTTCTCCTACCTGCATGTACCGACTGATTTGTTCAGCCAGCTTTGGCCACATCTGCTCCAACTGTTCAGGAGTTCGGGGTTGCACACCTGAGCCAGCAGGACGAGCCTGGGGTTTCTTCCTCTTCTTGCATTTCTTGCTCTGCAGCAACACAAGCCACCGGGTTTTTGAATCAGCTTTTGAAGAAAAGGGAATGCTGACACAAGTGTAATATACCCAGAATCCTTTGCCCACAAGAACTGTCCATCAAAGAGGTGAAACGGGAGGTGGGGAGTGGGTAAAGCAGGACATTCATAGTTGTGGCCCCTAGCCTGGTTGGAAAACATGTCCTGAAACAGCCAGCCCAGTACCCTGTTTCCAAACAGTCAAGGGAACAAATGTACTTCTTTTGTTACCGAGTTTCAGACGGATCTGGCAGCTGCTGTTTATTTTAGCTATTTATTTATTTATTTATTTTATTTGATTTCTATCCTACCCATCTAGACCAAAGATGTACTCTGCGAGAATTATATTGCCAGGAGTGGGATTAGGGGAGAAAGACTGTGCCTGGAGGAACTGCTGGATAAAACTAAGATGCAGAAATATTGCAAAATAGCTAAGTAATCCTGTCCCAAAGGTTCTTAAGACAATGAATAAAGAGCTGCTGGACCCAAAGGAATAGAGCTCAAAAAACATCACGCCAAGATACCTGGACCACTAGGTTGTTCCTGCCTTTGCAAAATCTCTCCAGCATCTTCAAGAAAAGGTGAGCGGTCTCCACCAGATCTTTAAGGAATGACCTGGGCTGCTTGGTCTCATCAAACTTACGGAAAAGGGTGAGGAACAGTTCACGGAACTCCATCATGTAGAAGATGTTATCTAGGGAGGAAAATGGGACGGTGTCAATCACATTCCAACACCCTCACAAAGTCAATACTTCCTGGTCCGTAAGAAAAAAAAATATTAGGAGGAAAAAAAATTGAAAGCTTTTCCTCCCTAAATCTCTTGGGTCTCCGGGAACCGAGCGAGAGGAGAAGCAAAGAGCAAGGACCACATCTTTCTTCTCCACTATTTGCTCAGAAAGCACAACTTGTCCATTTTGTTCTGGGTGTTGGACAGATCCTGACTGCAATGGTTACCAGAATTTCTAGAAGACCCTACTCTGGTTATCAAAACAAGCACCATTTGCTGTCCTCACATGTCTCAAACATGGCTCAATAGGACTGGCTCCCGACGTTGACAGGAAAGATGGAGTATTGTTCTAGGAGGCTGCCTTGCAGGGCACTAAACCTGGTTTCTAATGAGCTAGATTTTGTTTAAAAAAATCTCACTTTTAAGGATGTGGCTACTGTGGCGCACAGCTTCTTCTTGAGAATGGTCCATTTCGTGCACAGTCATCAGCAGCTCTTGGTAGGCCTTGAGAGCCAGATGCATCCTAGAAAACAAAACAAAAGAAGACAAAACACAAGAGTCCTTTTTGACATCACACAAGATGGAGGAGAAAAGGGTCCTTTTAAAGCCACACCAGCCAAAAGAAGATGGGGACATACCCGCAAAGCCACGCCCCAGAGTGCCAGGCTCCTTACCTTCTAGACCAAGATGTGGCTTCCTTCTTATCTAGGAGCAGCATTTCATAGTAGTTGGTCAGACTCTGCTCAATAAAGTGAAAGGTCCGGACGCTAACAGTCTCAGAAACCAGCTGAGGCTGGAAAGAGTAGGCCCGGTTGAAGGCCATGAAAAAGGCCATAGCCCACAAGTAGTATGTCTCATCATGCTGCTGGGCTTTCTCTCTGATCAGGTGATCCTGTGGATGGATGGATGGATGGATGGATGGATGGATGGATGGAAGGAAGGAAGGAAGGAAGGAAGGAAGGAAGGAAGGAGAGAGAGAGACGGAGGAAGGAAGGGAGAGAAAGAAAATAAGTAAAAGTAAAATTGCAATAGTTGAATCTTTATTATCTCTCCTTTTTTATACAGTAGTCTTATTAGGACCATACCAGATAACAAAGAAACTTGAAATTAAAAATATAGTGGCCAGTCAGCTTCCAATTTATACTACAAGAGCAAATGTACACAGATCTGCTTCTTTCGCCTAATTTATTCACTTTTTTCAGATTGAAAGAACTATAAATCTAGCCCTAAATAACTCTAAATTCTGGGGCAAAGCAAAATGAAAAAAAAAGTATGGCAGTTGGGGATGGAGGGGTCTGTGCTAGCCAAAGACTAAATGTTAAAGTAGTATAATTCCCTATGCCCATTTATTGCAACTTAAGTATTTAGCAAATTTCCAGTTTGAGTTTTTTAAAAAAGGTTCTATCCTGTTTTTCAGCATCTGAAATGGCCAAAGCAGCCTCCACCCAAAAAAACAAAAACCCACCCAAGAAACCAAAACCGTTCTTTAATATGGGAAAAAAAACCCAGCATGGAAATAAAAGAGAGATACAATGTATAAATTAAATTACTAGAACAGCATAATGAGAGTATTTTTTTAAAAGGGCCCTTCAAAACATTTTTTCTCAGAACTAGGTTAGTAAATTCAAGGCACAGCAGAGTAGGAGAATAATTTGCTGCCCTCCTAAAACCCAGAAGAGATTCTCTTTTGGTTTTTAGGAGTTCCACAATCTGGGTGCCACCACTGAGAAGGCCTGCTCATGTCCCTAACAAGCATACTTGTAAAGGTGGTGACAGAGGGAGCAGGGCCGTTAGGTGTTGAGAACTGTGTACAAAGAGGACATCAGAACACACAAGGGAAAACACTCTTTAAAAAACCAAAAAAATAAAAAAACCTGGCTCTGAACCTTTAAGTGCTTTTCAACTTTACAATGGCAAGCAGAATTTATCCCCTGAGGGATTTAGTATAAGCAAGCCATCACAGCAGAAGTTAAGGAACAGTGAAATTCAGGGAGAATATGAGGCTCTAACAAGCACTAAATTCATTTACCATCTCATTCGTAAACAAAGCCCTCTACCGCTAAACTAAGTAGCCTCTCAGGCGGAGGAGGTCCCACTAGCTCCAGCTCCAACTAAAGAGGTGTCTGCATTTCGGAGCAGATGTCCTGAAGCAATTAACCATTTCAGGGCCCTTCCGACATTATCAATGCTATTCCTTTTCTGCTGTTCTCCATTTGCATGCTCCTTTGCAGGACAGGGACCTCACTCTCACCTTCACCAGATACATGAGACGATTGTAGCAGTTCTCCAAAAACTCCACACAGAACTCCTTGAGGAAAAGCCGCACATTGAGAGCCGACCGGCGAGGGGCGGCCTCAGTGTCACAGGCCAGCTGCCGCCTCTTTGGCACCCGGCGGGTCTCCTTGCCCAGATCGTGGCTATAGTTCTTCACCTGCCCAGCAACAGAAAAGACTACGGGTAAAAACGCACGTGTAGGAGGCAGGGAGTGGAATAATGCAAGGGGTTTCTTTCACACACACCCTACTCCTTTCCCTGCCTAAGATGTCTTGACTGCCCTCATCAGCAGGAGTAGAGGTGCTGCGATACCACATGAAGGGCACAGCAGAAGAATCTACAACGACAAATGCTTCCTACTTTACTTTACTTTTCCTAGCTCAGGGAGTTAGGTATCTGGCTGCGGAGAAAGAGGTTAGGGGTTCAATCTCCCACTGTGCATTCTGGGGGAAGAGGCAGCCTGTGTAGTCTTGGGCAAGCTGCACAGTCCCAGGGTGTTCCTAGAGGCCTACTCTGAGTACTCTTTACCCGGAAACCCCCCAAAATAGTCGCCAGGTCAGAACTGACTTGACCCCACACAATTATTATTATTATTATTATTATTATTATTATTATTATTATTATTAT